ATAACACGTGACATTAATAACATGATGTAACCATGTCAATCAATATTTACTCACATGTTAGACACAAACATAACTTACATTTAGCAGAGCTACAATTGGCTTACAAGGGGCACATGCCCATTATTTTATTTATTTTTTATATTTTTTAAACATTACTCATGTATGTTTTAAATATTTCCTAAACATATTTAATTAGACCTATCCTATTTTTTTTAATGCCCGTTAGAATAGACACATAATTAAATGATTATTAACTTCTGGATACACTTTAAAGACGTTCAAATATGTTGTTCTTACACAAAATAAAAATTTAAGATTACAAAATACATGGTGTATCCATTAGATTACCTATTATGACTTTGATATTGATTATAATTTATATTATAAAGAAAAATTTTTAACTATAGAAATTATAAAAACTTGGTTACATAACCAAATAATTGATAAAATGATAACTAATTATATAATACTATCAATAAAAAAAGACATTCTCAATGATGTTTGTAACGAATTGCATCTCTTTCAAATGATAAAAGCTCATTATAATTGATGAGGTCTCAGAAGTTATGGCCCAAGTTTTGTTGTGGACAAGGGGTTGGTGAGTTCTATTAGATGGTGAAAACTAAAGGATAACCTAATAGGTTGAGAGAAGCACAGGAGTTAAGTGGTTCACCACCGGCTGGCGGACTGAAGTTACATCCACTGCAATAGAGTCTCTTGTTCCTTCGGCCTATATGTTGATTCTTTTTTGAAGTAAGTAGTCTTATAGGCGCTTGACCATTACAGGAAGTTATATTATAACTTAATGCCTTCTTAGGTGTTCGAACACCCCGGAGGGGTTCCCATCGACTTCCCTTATTTGCTTGTTGATTCTGTGGGGACCTTCCGTCCTTGTCCTGCCAATAAAGCCCTGCGAGCCGGCGTTACTGTACCCACTATACTTGGGTCGTTACGCACCACCTCTCCCTGCAGGTGGGTGTGACTGTCATAGGTTTCAGAGATGATCCCCATGTTATTTTGGGACGTGTGGCGTGGTGGAATGCGTCTATGGTTAAGGTTTGACTTCTCCCTCTCTGGTTATCTTTTGACTAGGGCCGGACCGCCGATCCTTTTGGGCTTTGCTTCTTGATACGGACTGGCTAGGTATGTTTCCCTTGCGCTAACAGGCGAAGTAGAATGCTCTGAGTTTACTAGGCTCCATGGCCATGACGGCCCATATCTAAAATTCTATCCCAATCAATAATCAATTAGAAATAATTATAAATAACCTTTTTTTTTGTAGAATGTTAAAATTAATAGTTCCTATTTTGTCTTATTTATATGCATTATGTATAAACAGTTTTTCACCCTATTAAGTTGAATGATTTTATTTTGTGTGAAAAATAATTTTAATAAATATAAATATATCATCCTGGTTAAAGTGTCCACTCAAGACTAATTTTTTGGCATCGCTAAGCTTGCCCTGAAAAAATATTTGGGGTACATCTAGTCATGTATTTTTGTTAAAAAACAATGCCTATATATATATATATATATTGGTTGGGAAAAAATAAGATGG